CGCGGAATGGTCAATCCAGGTAAGGTTTCCAGGTTATACACCCCATTATCAGTTTTCTTTATAATGCGATATGGTCCTTCCCAATTTACTGTGAGTTTTCCTTATCACGAATTTCTATTTCCAATGTTAGCTCTTCTTAGGATCAAATCTTATTTTTCAAATTTTCGCGAGATAACCTTCTGATTATACTTGCTGAGGTCCTCTATTTTAAGGCCACTTCTATTATGTGTTCCATTTCCCTGATCTCGTCAACTATATCTCAGTTATGGAGAAGTTCTTGATTATTGATTTCTTTGTTTGAGTGCTATCTATCCATGTTGTTCCCTTATTTCTACATGGATCATAGCTTCACTTTCATACACCATTTTGAAAGGTGTTTCACCTTTTGTGGAATGCAGAGTTTTTCTATAGCCACAAAGAATGTAGTCTACATGGTCAAGCCATTCACCTTTGGCCTCTTCTAATCTTCTTTCAAGTCCCCTCTTTAGCATTTTGTTTGCAGCTTCTACTTGGTCGTTAGTTTGTGGATATTCTACCGAGTGTTTCACTTGGAGTTCCTTCAATATTTCATTGAATTTTCTGTCCATAAATTGAGTCCCATTGTCAGTTATGATGGTGTGGGGGACGTTAAACCTTCAAACAATCTTCTTATAGAAGAACCTTCTAACTTTGTTTGCCGAGATGGTGGCTAGAGGTTCTTTCTCGATCAATATATTTTGTAAAATAGTAATGACCACAATCAACCATTTTAGTCCTCTCGTTGCATTTGGAAATGGTCCCAGTAAATCCATTCCCTATTGGTAAAATGGCCATGGGGAAGATAAAGAAGATAACTTCTTAGGTGGAGTATAATGGATATCAGTATATTTTGGACATTTGATACAATGTTGCACATGGATTTTAGCATATTCTTCAAGTTTAGGCCAAAAGTATCCAGCACAGAGGAGATTGTGAGATAATGATTTCCCTCTAGTAAGATGCACATTTATTCCTTCATGGACTTTGGTAATTGCAAATTGAGCTTTATACTGCGTCAAGCATTTGGGCAGAGGGGTGGAAAACCTTTTTCGATAGAGTAGACCATTTATAATGGTGTAGTAATAAGAGTTTCTGATCAATTTTTTTGAGATTTGTTCATCTCGCAAAAGTGTTTCATGCTTAAGATATGCCTTAATTGAGGAGATCCATGTTGGTTCTTCTTCACCTTCTTCTATTTCTTCTTCCAATATGGGGGTTGAACTAGTTGAGGGTAAAGCCTTGCATTTGGAGATGGCCATTATCATGCTTGGATGGGGAACATTTTTTTGAATCACTGATCTATTATTCCCTGGATTGTTGGTGCTAACCAATTTTGACAAGATATTTGCCCTAGCATTTTTTCACGCATGATATTTTCAAATTTCACTTATTCAAAAGTTAGTATTAGAAATTTTACCTTTTCAATATACTTGGCCATTAATGCTTCTTTCGCTTGATATGTTCCTTGAACTTGCGAGATGGCTAATTAGGAATCGCTCTTTACTAAGGCTTTTGTGACTCCAAAATCTTTAGTCATTGCCAATCCCACAATCACTGCTTTATATTCAACTTGATTGTAGGATGCTTTAAATTCAAATTTGATGGAATGTTCAACCGAGACACATTGTGGGTTCTCCATAATAATTCCTGAACCATTTCCCTTGGTGTTTGAGGATCCATCCACATAAACTATTCATTCATCATTCAATTCAATATTGTCATGGTGGATCATCCCGACCACAAAGTCAGTGAGAACTTGAGCCTTGATCGCTTGTCTTGGTTCATAGAAAATATCATATTTTGAAAGCTCAACATACCAAGTTATCATTCTACCTGCAAGGTCAGGTTTTCGCAGGATTTGTCGAATTGGCTGGTTTGTTCGTACCTTTATCTGATGCCCCTGAAACTAATGTCTTAACTTACAAAATGTCATAACTAATACAAAGGCTACCTTTTCAATCTGCTGATATCGCGATTCAGGTTTGTAGCGTTTTGATCACAAAACAAACAGGTTGTTGATTCCTTTATCAAAACTAAATTTATTGCTTCAGAATTCATAGCGAGATAAAGGATTATAGGTTCTTCTAGATCTGGCTTCACTAAGTTTGGTGGAATGGTGAGATACTTCTTGATCATGGCGAAGGCCATTTCATATTCCTGACTCCATTCAAAGGAAGCTTATTTTCTTAGGAGTCTGAAGATAGGTAAAGACTTTTGAGCTGATGCTAACATAAATCTTGTTAGTGTTGTGATTCTTCCTGTCTATTGTTGTACTTCCTTTATGTTTCTTGGGCTGGTCTTATCCAATATTGCTTTGCATTTGTCTAGATTGCCTCAATACCTTTATGTGTCAACATAAAGCCCAACATTTCCCTACTAGTACTCTGAATGAACACTTTGTAGGATTAAGTCGCATGTTGTATTTTTGCAACTATTGAAATACCTTATCAAGATCTTCAGTATGTCGCTGGGTTTCAACTATTTTTACAATCATGTCATCAATGTATACTTCTAACATGGGACATATTCGTTCACTAAAAACTTTATTTATCATCCTTTAGTATGTAGCACTAGCATTCTTCAAGCAAAACGTCATCATGGTATACTAATAAGTTGCTTTATCCATTATGAAAGTTGTGTTTTCTTCATCAGGCTTATGCATAACGATTTGACCCTGAGAAGGCATCCATAAAGAATAGAATATGATAATCTGACAAATTATCAACTAATTTATTGATATTGGGTAATGGGTATGAGTCCTTTCGGCAAAATTTGTTAAGATCTGTGTAGTTAACACATATCCTCCATTTCTCATTTTCCTTTTTCACTAGGACTACATTGGAAAGCGAAGTGGAATAATTTATCTCCCCAATGAATCATGCTTCCCGAAGTTTTCTAACTTTATCATCAATATTTTTTTGTTTTTTAGAGTAATCTTACTTTTTTCTGAGCCAATGGCTAGGCTTTTAGATCTAAGGAAAGATGATGACAAGAAAAAGTTGGATCAATACCTAGCATGTCGGCATGTCTAGGCAAAAAGATCTTTATTTTTTAAAAGGATTTCAATTATCCTTTATTTTTCTTCTTTTAGGCATATACCACCCAATCTTAGTAGTATTCTCAGTTTGAGGGCCAACCTATATTCTTCTAATTCCCTGTCTAGTTGAGGATGAACATCTTACAGCTCTTCACATACATCGTACTCATTCATATTAATGGATGCTTTCCCTTTTTTATTAGCTCCGAGATGATATCTCAGTGTTGGTTCTGTATTTAATTTTAGACTAACATTATAGCAACTTCATGCTAGTCTCTAGTCACCTCTTACTGTCGCTACCCTCCCTTAGGGGTCTTTAAACTTATTAAGTAAATGTGGCATATCAATAATTTCCCCAAGGCCATATATAGATTGTCTACCAATAATAACATTATAAGCAGATGGGCAATCAATAACGTAAAAGTGTACCTTGGTGATCTTTGCTTTAGGGAGGATGTTAAAGGTCACTTGTAGTTCAATTGTTCCTTCTGCCTTTACACATTCTCCTGAGAATCAAAGAAGGTCAATTTGACAAGGCATTATTTGTTCCTCTAGGATATTCAATCCTTTGAAAGCTTATGTTGGTCTCCTTCGCAGCCACTAGCAAGAATTATTTCGTTCCCTAAGTGATGACCAATAGCGCAAGTGCACGCATCAAGTAATAAATAGAAGTGTTATGCCTAGATTATCATTCCCTCGGAGAAAGTATTGCTAAATTGAATTTCAAGTTGTATCAGAGAATAAAATGAATGAGTTAAACAATATTGAATTATTTTGGTTGCACGTTCCCAAGTATCAAAGTGGTGTTAAGACTATGACAAATGGTTCAATTTAACTTAAAACAGTTCATTGGGTCGTTATATATTTCAAATTCCTCCTAGTTAAAGGAGGAACGACAAATCACTGAACAAATAGTTTTATGGTGTGAAATATTCTAAAGATAAATGCAAAAATTAAATTGAGGAAGTTCAAGAAACAATACAGGTGAAATGATATACGAAACAATAATTAAAAGAAAAGGAATGGATGCACTGATCCACTGTTAAACCCACTATAATCTAGAATCAGGACCTTGTCCAATTTACATGTTCAAGTCTCTTTCATTACCAATGCTAATTCCTCAAGCTCTTGTGCTAAAATGATATACGAAATCCCATATTCCTATGGCAACTTCATTCCCAACAATTACTCAAAACAAAACCTTTAGCGAACAAGGTGGTTCCTTATTCCTAAGATAACCAGTGAAAGTGTTTCTACACTCTTCACCTTCCTTCTAATGTTCAACAGTCTGGAATCTCTTTCTTATAGAAATTTATTTCTCAGATTATGTTCAATTTCTATTGATATAAGATATTAAAGCAATAAACTATAGAAATCCATTAGATTCAGTAACAGAGATTCAATTACAGAGATTTAACATCTTTACAGATTATCCATTCCAAAAGAAAATTAGCTCATGCTCAAAGATGGATGAAAATACAAACAAAATCTTCTCAATCTGAACTCCAATAGACCCGATATACAGATTAAAGGAGACGAAGCAGAAAGAAAAGAAATTACAGACTCAAAATAGCGATACTAAAATCAGAGACTCGATACAACAGTAGCAGAAAGATAAAAATGGAGACTTGATGAAGAGTTGCTCGTGTGAAGTCTTGATGAAGAAAAGAGAAGACAATGGTGTTATTCCAGAAAAAGCTTGCTGTTTTTTCCTTCATTTGATCTTTTATTTATAGGATAGGGAAGACAATGACATTCTTGTGATTATCTCAGGTCATTCCCTACGTTGTTGGATTGAGGATGTCTCCTCTTTTCTAATCTGACGAAGGAGAATGCTTGAAGTTGATGATAAGGGTTGAGCTGTCCTCTTACTTCTGTTTCCCAAAGCTGATTCTCTGACTCATAGATGCGTCCAACAATATTCTTTGCTCTACTGATGTTCCTATTATACTAGGATGACAACTTTCAAAGTGGAGACAACAGAACACTCTTCTATGTCCTCCTCATCGTCATGAAATTTTATTGCTTTCATCATGTTAAACTTGACATCCTCATCGTTGACTCTCATGATGAGTTCACCCTTCTGAACATTAAAAAGTGTTCCACCAGTTGCTAGGAAAGGTCTTCCTAGTATGATAGGAATGTCAACATTTCCTTCGTAGTCCAAGATGATGAAGTCTGCAGGAAATATAAGTTTATCAACTTTAACTAGCAGGTGTTCCACCTTTCCTTCTAGTTTAACAAGAGATCTGTTAGCCATCTGTAATGATACGGTGGTGGGCGTTGCAGGACCTATAGCTAATTGCTTGAAAACATATGAAGGCATTATATTGATGTTTGCTCCTAAATCATATAGAGCACGTCCTTGGTAGGTGTTCCTTATAATACATGGAATAATATAACTTCCACGATCTTTCAACTTTAGTGGAAGTTTAGTCATATACTTGTAACTTTCTTGGGTCAATGCCACAGTTTCATACTTTTTCATACGTCTTTTCTTTGACAGAACGTCCTTTATAAATTTGACGTATGTTGGCATCTGCTCCAAGGCTTCTCTACCAAGGGAATGTTGAAGTGAAGTTGTTTAAAGAGATTCAAAAAATTTCCAAATTGTTTCAGTATCCCCAGGCGATGTACTTGGTGGTCTTAAGCTAAGAGAAGCTGTAATTTTCCTAAGCTGGGTCTGATGTTCCTTACAATAGCATCATTCCATGTCATGATTCCCTCATATAATTTTCTATGGAACTGAAGCATTGTTCTTCCTTGGGGAACAGAGCATTTGGTTATCTTGGTATATTCTGATCATAATCTCCATTGTTCCACCCATTATTTTGCTGAGTTTTCTATTGCTACTGATGAAGTATCTCTGATTTCTATGTGGTCTCTAAGAATGATTATAGTTTTGATCTCTCTGTTCAGAGTTACCATAGCTTTGATTTTTGTTCCTTCCAGCATAATTGTTGTTCTCCCTCTGATAGTTATTGATGTTCCTGCCATTGTAATTTTCTACATAACACATTGGTTTAGTGTGTGGACGGTCAAATGATATGTGGGTTTCTCCATAGACATGACAACGTTCAACTACAGGTGCAGTGACCTGGGCAATCTGACCTGGGCAATCTCCACAGACAAGACAAGGTTCAAACTCTTAATCTCGTTAATCAAGCTGCCAGTTGTGCTTCTATGGAAGTCTGACCATCCAACTCCAAAATTCCTGGTCTTTTTGTTGGAATGACCCTCTCAGGTGGCCACTAAAGGCATCTGTTAGCAACATTTTCTATGATATCATAACGATCATCATATGGATCTTTAAAGAATTTACCTCTCGAGGAAAAATCTAGATGTCACTGAGATGTATAGTCTATACCTTTATAGAAGGTTTGGAGAACTCTCCATCCTTCTACTCAATGGTTAGGATATTTCTTCATCATGTCCTTGTATTGTTCTCATGCCTCGTACAAATTTTCATCATGGAACACGCGGAAGTTGGACAACTTTGCGCTTACTTCTACAATGCAAGACATGGGAAGGAACCTTTCTACAAATTTGTTAGTGAAAAGAAAATATGGTTGAACAATCACATAAGAGGGGGGTGAATTGTGTGTAACTTCTTTTACAAGAAACAATAAAAAACAATATCCATTTTCAAAGATCTTCAACCAAAGTGAAATTTAAAGAATATAAACCTTTTTCCTAACCCAAAAATAGAATTAAAATATATCATATAACATGTAATTCAGAGGATTAATAGTGGAATCAAAAAGAGAAGGGAAAATAGAAGAAAAACAATGTAATTGTATACCACTTTCAAGAAAACATTCAAAAATAAAATCAATCTAAAAACTATCAATTCCTCTACCTTAAAAGGATTCAATATAACATATATAATCCAAAAAATGAGTTATATGCATTGAAATCAAAGAGATAAGGTAAAGTAAGAATCACACTAAGATTTATCCTGGTTCACTGTCTGACCACTTAAGAGCTACATCCAAACTGAGATCGATCATCCACTATCATCAAACTTCCAACCGATGCTTGAAAATATCAATTTACAAGAGGAATTTTACAAGTCTATGATCACACCTTAATCACACCTAACCTAATACCCTTTGGATCACTCCACTTGAGTTCAATCAAATACAACAATCAAATTCATCCAAACAGATGTAGGGTAATTGTTGTTCAATTTAGCAATTAATTATATTAATCACACAAATACGCAAGTGCACGTATCAACAAGTAATAAAGTGGATGTGTGAGTCCAAGTATCGATCCCACAGAGATTAAATAAAGCTACGGCTCTGAGTGAAGTAATAGAAGTAACAATAATGATTTTTGATTAACTAATGACTAACTTAACAACTAAGAAATAAAATAAGCTAAAACTACTAATTAACTAAGAAAATGCAGTCAAGAATATAAGTTCTCAAGTATTCAAAAGTAGATTGGGATCAATTTCTCCATTATTGCAGATTCACCAGAATGCAGTTACAATGCTACAATAATCATCCAATCAGTAATCAGAACACTAATGCATTCAAGGGCTCTCACCAACAATACATGTATACTAGTTCCCATATCTTTATGGTCAACATAGTTATAAATCTTTAAGTTCAGGGTGATTTTATGGTGTGAATGATCTCTCTACCCACAATTAACCAATTTTACTTAGTTATACCACAATATTTAATAACTTTCAGAGTTCATCTATATCTCTATAGCCCAAACCCTAAGTATCTTGCAGCTCTCTCTCGATGAATCAACAAGATTAAAGACAATGTAAACACTTTATTAAACAACTAAAAGACAATCATGTAACAAAGTTTAGGCAAACTGATTACATCATAATAAGGATACTTTATCACCTAATCCTAAAAAATTAACTCATACTTGAATGGAAAGAAACAACAAAGAAAGAATAAAATTCCTTAGATCTAAGATAAGAAAAATAGGGATGTTGTTGTAGCTCTGCTCTCGCAGCAACCATGGGCTCCGCCATCATCCACCGTATCTCAGTCGCCGAAATAGTGTAGAAAGTTATCGAATTCAATGATCTCTCTATTGAACCCTAGCTCCTCTCCTTGATTCGCTGGATCTCTCTCAACAAACCCTCAAATTCTATCTAAGTGTTTCCCCCGCTTTCTCTCTCTAACTGCTCTGAGATATATGTTTCAATCCTTGTATGAACCTTCGCAACCTCTTTAATGTGTGTAAGCTTCCTCTTTTTATAGATTCTGATGAATTGGGCTCCAATCAGGTCTTCAAATCCACTACAAGTCATGTTCAAATCTGCTCTAGGTGTGATTGAAGATACTGCTCTATTTTGCTGCAGATATGATCCTAAGACAGAGCATGGTGCTGCTGCATATCTTCTTCAAATCTTTCCAAATATACTTCAGATCTGATTTGAATCTATAGGAGATTCAGTTCTGATTTGTTGAAGACTTGATGAGGATTTGTTGAAGATTTGTGAGTGATTATTCTGAACAGGTCACTTGCTTGTGCGCTAAGAAGCTTCCCTCCATTAAGTTGGGCTTGGGTCCAACAGCTAGCTGGTGTTGATGTCAATCAAACACACTGCTTACCTCAGCCCTAATGCTACAGATCTGCTTTCCAAAGCTACAACTCTGACCTGCAATAAAATAACAAAGGAAATAAATGGCTCTAACATTCTAATTATCTTCAAATATCCACACTTTACATATTTCTCATTCAAATCATGAAAATATAGAATTCATGCAATAATAATGTAAAATCAAAAGAATTATGCACAATTATGACACCAAAACATCACATATAAGCCTAAAAACAACTCTCCATCAGAGAGTTATCAGTAGTCTCCCCACATTCAGAATTCTCAAAAAGATCAAAAAAAGATTAAAAATTGATAAAGTAATTGAGCTTTTTTTCAAGGATAAGCAAAACTAAACCAAATGGAGTTTCAATTCAAATTCTCTGTGTTCTGGTGTTTTTCAGTGTTACTCTTATGTTCAGAACCCTTAAAAAGTGTTTATATAGGTGCCCTATTGAGATAATAGTCATTTATAGTTGTTGGACATCTAATTATTTGAATTACTTAAGCTTTAAGTCACTTATAACAGATAGTAATCAATTACTTTTTGTGATGTAATCAATTACTTGTTCAAAGATTTCAGATAATCTATTACTTTTCATTAGGTAATCGATTACTTTCAAAAAGTATTCGATATTTCATATCAGAAACAAATATTTCTGCTGATTTTTTTATCCAAATGATTTCTAAATGGTTTCTAGTGACTTCTAGCATATGTATGATCATGTCTCACACTTATATAACAACTCTCCATATGATCTTGTATGCATGATCAAAGCATATATGTCACTTATGCATGAGTTTATTGCCTATTAATGCAATCTTCAAGTTAAAGCTTAATAAATTCAATACTAGACTTCCTAAGACTCGAAATAACTTTACAAACAGTATAAGCATTGATTCTTCTTTGTCTTCATACTTCGAGTCTTCTATTCCTTCTTTAAACTTGAAAATTTTGACTTCTAGGTTTACTTTGCACATTTGAGTAGCCTTATCAATTTTGCACTTTGCTTTGGTCTTCTAGTACTATTTGTGTCTTGTTGCATTGCCTTCCATATTGTTCTTCCATGTTGAACTTGATAGTGATTTGTAATCATCAAAACTTAACTTTTAAGGTCTTGGAAACCTATGGTTCAACAATTAGAAAGTTCTTCCCACAAATGTATAGAACCATGAGGAAGGGGTTTCAACCAGTTCTTGGCTTTTGAACCTAGAGAATGAGGGAGCAACCTTATTCTCAGCCCATCTTTTGTAATACCATATGCTCTAAAATTAACACAGATATCCATAAAATTAGTGAGGTGGGCGTATGGATCTTCACTTGGAAGTCCAATGAAAACTCTAGTGTCCCTAATCATGTTAAACATGATAAGTTTAAGCTCAAAGTTTGGGGCTATAACTGGAGGAAGTATAACTCTAGTGTCCGTAGGTGGTTGTGGGGGTGGTGGTCTTCCTTCATCTTCATTTTCATGGTTCTCAGCCATATCTCTTTCTTTCTCTATTTTCCTTAGAATCCTTCTTCTATAGTGGAGAGTGCGTTCAGGTTCAAGATCAAAGATAGTTCTTTTAGGATCAGATGAATAATCAAGCAAACTAGGAGATAAACTTATAAACCAAAGTACCACAAAATCATATTAACAGTTAAACAAACAAATGAATCAATAAATATGGAATAAAAAGAATAATAAAAGAATGAACAATAAATGAACACAACTTAAAATATGGCACTTATCAAAATACTATCCCCGGTAATAATGCCAAAAACTTGTTGGCCTCCTTCACATTCACCAAGAAGAATTATTTTGTTCCCTAAGTGATGACCAATAGCGAAAGTCGAATCAAGTAATAAATGTGAGTGTTATGCCCAGATTATTGTTCCCTCGGAGAAAGTATTGCTAAATTGAATTCAAAGC